TAAGGACCTAATTGCTGAACAGAATGACACATAATGAAACCAAAGAAACTGGTACTCTAGGAACAGCCACCACTACACTATTAGTGTCTGCGAAAGAAGTTTTGCTGAGATTTAAATGAGGGCTTTTCAGGGAAAGGCAGAAGCGTACTGCACTTTGCTTCAGGCTGTGGGGTAAAGGGTATCTGGAAGATAGTTCGGTGTTATCAGACTCCAGAACAGGCTCATCTTCTCATACCTCAAAGTAAATAACTTCTGTAGCCAATGTTGACCCTGGCACACAGCCACCTTTGTGTATTTTGGCATAAATGTACACTAAGCAGCTGAGGGCTGCTAGGTAAATGGAAGACTAAGCAGCCGAGGACTGCTGCGAATGTACAGTGCCTAGTGGCTACAAGAGCTGCTAAGCAGATGGACTATAGCTAAGCAGCCGGATAAAGGTGTCTAATCCAGTCCACAGTTCTGTGTCTCTTCGTCGGGCTGCCTGAATCTCAAGTGAACTTGCCCATCTGAAATGCTGACAAGATAAGGTTTTCAACGCTAGGGCTCAGAAAAAGGCATCCTAAAGAATGGTGCCTGAAATCTCTCTCTCTCTCTCTCTCTCTCTCTCTCTCTCTCTCTCTCTCTCTCTCTATATATATATATATATATATACACACACACACACACACACACACACACATATATATATGTACACACACACACACAAGATAGCTAATGTAATTGTACTACTAACAGTTAATGCTTAATTTTTTGGACCAATTTTACTCATATCTGGTAATCTGAACAACTACTTTGAAAACAACAGTATGCAATATAACAACCATTGTTGAATTCCTATCATTTGGTTTTTTAAAAATTCTGCATTGTTTCTGTTTTATTTTTATTTTTATTATTTCTTACTTGCTTAAAAAAATGAGCTTGCTAGCAGAAAAAAAAAGAATGGCGCTTGATATGCTGAGTAATTTAAAGAAACCGTCTTGAGGTCTGAGTGCCCTGCTCCACCTAAAGCTTCTCCCCTGAAAGGCAGACAGAGAGGGACTTTCTGTGAAGTTGCCATACTTGACGAAGTTCCTCCAGAAGGAAATGTTTGGTCCTTCCACCACCATCCTCATAACCTCACCAGAGAAGAGTAACTGGAAGTATAAAAGACTAGAGCAGCGATGATGAACCCTTCAGAGCTTTCAATAATACAGGCCATATAGGTTCACAGTCCCTGGACTAGAGTGACACCACACTGACAGCCTCGTGAATTTTGCCCCAGACTACTGCCTATTCTTTAGATCCATTCACAGTATTTACTGAGTTTTGATTAAATCCAGAACGTGGATTTTGAGATCTGACTGGCCATCTCATTTTAGATTTTATGTTAATCATTTTCCTGTTTTCTAATCTCCAAATCCAACCAATCTTCAACCCCTGAATCTCTGCTTGCTTTCTCCATAAACTGTGGTCTCTGTTTTTAGTATCCCCCAAACTACTAAAATTGTAACTTCTAGTCCACAAGTCTCTGGCTCCTCATTCTTGTCTACAGGAGTTTCTAACAATTGTTCATCTTCTACAAGACTAACAGTGACTGCTTGAAACAGGTCTGAACAAACGAAACAGTGCTCAGTGCCCAGGAATCAACATAAAGGTGTTTGCTTCCTGTATGGTATTTGTCAAATCAACAAATTCTAGTTCTCATATTACCAGTGGATAAAAACGAAACCAGATGCTCACTTTTCTCTATTTCCAAAAAGAACTTAAAATATACAATTACTACAGAATTTAATTTTTTAATTGTGTAAATATTTGGGTCCAATACCTTCTCAGGTACTAGGAATATCTTTGATCCACCTTCCTTTTCAGGGAAGACAAGTTATACACTGAAACAACACTTAAAAGTCAGGAGACAAAGAGTTCCAGAGCAGAGTTGCTCAGTGAGTGAATCCTGGGCTAGGAGGAAATTGAGTTGAGTGAAGGGAGCAGTTAGAAGCAGGAGAGCCTCCAAAGAGCATGTCTCTCTGCCAATGGTCTTATTCATGCTCTCTCCTCTGAACTCAGGGCCACTTACACACCACTTAGGATTTGTTCTATGCTAAATGATATGTGATACATCTAAACTTTTCAATAAAAGATAAACTCCTTGAAGGTAGCGTTTTTAGTCATTATTTTTACCAATGTGCACAATACATTATGCATAGCTAACATTTACTGAAAGCTATGCACTGAGTGCTAGTCTAAGTGCTTTACATGAACATATGAACTCGTTTATTCTTCACAACAACCCCATGAGATAGCTACTATCATTCTTCCCATTTTGCAGGTCACAAAACTGAGATCCAAAGAGATAAAACCCAAGGTTATGCCGCTAGGAAATAACAAAACTTGGATTCAATCTTAAGCAACCTGGCTACAGAATTCACATTCTTTTTTTGAGACAGGGTCTCACTGTGTAGTCCTGGCTGGCCTTGAACTCCCTGTGATCCTCCTGCCTCAGTCTCTCAAGTACTGGGATTATAGGTGCGCACCACCATGCCCAACCTCACACTCTTTTTTTTTGGGGGGGGGGGTTCGTTTTTGTTTTTTTTTTTTTCCGGTACCTGGAATTGAACTCACGACCTTACGCTTGCCAGGCAGGCGCTGTGCCGCTGAGCTAAATCCCCAGCCCCCCCAATCTCACACTCTTAATTACATTGCTATAGTTAACATTCAATCAGTTACATGTGTACAAGAGTCCTAAAATTATAATGGACTAAAGACCACAATAAAACAAATAAACCCAAACAAAAATAGCTCTCTAATATTTTTAAAATAGGCATGTGAAGGTTACAGTTGTAATCAGATTGGAGTTTGAATTCCAGTTCTATGACTTTCTAGCTTTTAACAAAACTCTTAATCCTTTCTGATCTTGTTTCAGTCTTTGAATCTGCAAGACCCAACTAGTAGGTCTTAGGATGTTTGTGAGAATTAAGAGCTAAGAAGCAGGCAAAACACCAAGAACACACAATCCACAGCGTGATTAATGAATGTTGGCTCTAAAACAGAGTGTGAAGTCAAAAAAATTTTCTTTGCTAAATCATTAATCAACAATTATAAAAGTCTTAAACAGTAATCATGAGAATATATGTTCCTTTATGACAACATACTGACAGGACTTAACTTTCTCACCCCAAGCCTATAAAACAAATCATATTAATTACTTCTAATGTCAGACAAGGAGTTAAAGAGCTTTTCCTGCGGGCGGGGAACTAAAGCAGGAGTCTAAGAACCTTCCACATGTTAAAGCAAGTGTAAAGGGAAGTTCACAGAGGGAAAATTCTCTATTAAGGACTTACACTAACAGAAGGTAAGTGCACCAAATGTGTGAGGGTCCTGGAAAGTATGCAACATAGGGAAAGTCTGGTAGATAGAGATGTTTAACAGGGCAGTAATAACCCTGACACAAGGGCTGAAGACCCAATAGTTTGTGCGAGTCCAGGGAGCAGAATTAAGTACATACAACAGGAGGCTTTGAGAAAGCGTAACCAGAATGGGCTTCCGTGGACTGCGGTACAGACCCTTCCACAGAAGATGCTCAAGCCTAAAGGTAGGATGGAAGAAACAGACAGGTAAAAAGAAGACTGAGAAACTGTTGTTTTTAAAAACAGGTTTTAACTGGGGGTTGTGGTGCATGCCTGTATAATCCCAACGGTTCAGGAGACTAAGGCAGGAGGATCTCAAATTCCAGCCCAGCTTCAGCAATTTAGTCAGACCCTGTTTCAAAAGAAAAAAAGGGCTAGGAAGGTAGTTCCATACAAAAAATCCTGGGAAAAAATTAATAAACAAAACAACACAACAACAATAAAGACCCACTCTAGTAGTTTTGAGGAAACTGCAGCTTCAAGACAGAATCAGAGTTACCAAAGCTTTCACTCCCTAGGACTGCTTTTCTTCCAGGTTCCTCCCTGGGAGTCTCAAGGATAGTCTAAGTTCATAAATTTGGCCTGCATTTTCCTTCTGATACCAAAAATCTAAAAATTCCAAAAGTTACATCAAAGAATTCCATTCTCAAAGAAACAGTATTATTAATTAGTAGTCTATCTCTAAATTTCAAACACATAAATAACTTATACTTAATTTTGTTGATAGCTTTGGTTTAACCCACGAAGGGGCAAACTGACCTTACGAGAACAAACAATAGGTAAATGATCAGTAACTCAAAAAATAAACATCCCAGACCACCCCAGGAGCAGAGAAATTCTTCCAAACCCAGACCACAGAGCTGCTCTCCTCCGGAAAGCCTGCGCCCTCCGCGCTGCGATTCTGCGAAATCTGCCTAAACACTGCCTCTCACTGACAGGTCCCGAAATGCTTTTCTACCAAGATATATCAAGAACCTGCAAAGGTGTGGGGCGAGTAGAGGCCTCCATCTCCTCTTCAGGGGTCCCTCCACCCGGTCCAGTGACAGCTCCAGCTTTGAGAGGGCCAGAGGGAATCTCTGGCGGACCGGACCAACTCCCTAGGTCCCCTTTTCTGCCAGGCTGTGAAGGGGAGTCAGAGAACCATAGCTCACAAGGAGGCAGGGCTTATATTTTAACAACCTTTTGGATGGGGGGTGGTGACCGTGTAATCACTGGGGAAAGGTGAGTTAAAACACCGGAGAGGTGACATCTCTGCAAAACGCTGCAGGGATCCGAGACTCGCGGGCTCTCAGGACCCAATAATAATACAAAAGACATCTGGCAGACGCCGCTTAGCGGATGCTTGTTACACTAAAGCTTCTGGATCAGCTTCCTATCTCACTCCCAAGAGCTGTCGTGCCCCAGCCAACCCTAAACAAAGGTGGAAGCCAGCTGGGTCGCAGCCTAAAGGAGGGTGACGTCGCGGTCGGCCCTCGAGTGAAGGGAGACGCGGAGCTCGAGGCGTGCAGCTGAGCTCAGCGGGCGCTCCAGGCCTGCTAGGAAAAGTCTTCACCGCCGACGACTTTGAGGGTTCAGGTCATTCTGGGTCCCCAAGGCGCTCGCCAAGCACGCACTCACCAGCCCGCTGCTGCGCAGCGAACGAACCGCTAGTCCTCCCATTCTTGCCTGGAGCCAGGGTTCTCCGCTGGCAGCCCACGAACTTCAAGGCTGGCTTAGCCGGCTCCGCCCCCTCGCACCCGCCCCTCACATACCTCTCGAGACCCCGCCCCCTCGTGCCTACGGAACCGCAAGAGAGACAAGTAACCTCCACCGCCGCTAGCGCCCTATGTCTGGCTCACGCGAGACTTGGGCAAGGCGGGGGGCGGGAAGAGAACCGGAGACACAACAAACATGGCGGTGGCGGCTGCAACGGTGACGAAGACGGCGGCAGCGACGGCGAGTGCAGCGGCGTTGAACAAGGCAGTGGGGGTTACTCGGTGCGGTTGTCAGGAGGTAAATAGAAGGCTGCCAGCTCGGACGGCGGTGCAGCGGTAGAGCTGGGTGGATAGAAGGAGCGGGGAAAGGTGAGAACTGGGTTTGCCGGGGCCGGCTGACTCCGCCCGAGCCTCGGACCCAGCGGAGGGTTGTGCACGACCGGGCAGTGGGCAGGGTCACAGTGTGAGACCTTCCGGGCTCAAGTGCGGAGGGCTTTGGTGCCTGTGGCCGCGGGAGCCCGGGAGAGCGGCGCTTGTGGGTCGGCGCCGACCGGCAGGAGCTCGAAGGCGCTCGGGTGGGGAGCCTGCTTGGGGCTCTGACAGGTGGCTGCGGGGTGCTCTGCGGTTTGCGTCTCCCTGGGGTCCCAGGAGCTGGGGGACAGCCCGGGCGCGGGTCCCCTAGGTGTTCCGAATCCTAGTGAGGCTGTCACTCGGAATCCTAGTGAAGATGTTCTCTAACGCTGGTCCTGCAGTCTGGGAGAAGGACTTTTAAAGCCTTCTTTTTATTTCATAATCTTGCCAGGATCTGCTTTTGCAGCATGTGCACTCTAACGTTGGAAATACGTGCGGTTTCGGGAGGACAGTTCAGTAAAGAACTATTCAAGCTCATTCCAGCTTTAAGTCTCTGATAAAGTGTAGCCAAGCACCTGGGAAGTGCTTCGTAACTGCAGCTCTGAAGTTAACTCATTACAGCTGCCAGTAACCACGTGGTCCATTCATTGACGCCCCCCCCCCCCAACAACTCCAGATCAAAACCCGAAAGTGGAGAGACGATCTGAAGGAGACATGAAAGCCTTTTAGATTGTGAGATCTCAGGAAATCGACATAACAGTAACAATAATTTAAAACAACTTTTTTAGCATCTAGACTAACAATTTTTAAGGTGTTTGTTTTACATCGTGCCTTCAAACCAGCGATTAATACAGTATACTCTTGGAAGAGTCTTAACTGTGAATTGAGGTGTTTGGTGTTCTTTTCCTAACCGTCTAGAGTGTCTTCAGAAAACCATCACTGTTCTGTACTGCAATAGAGATAAAGGTAGATGGGGATCAGATATGCCTTTGCTGGATGTGTAATTTAAAAAACGACAACAAATAACCCTTTCCTTACAACTGTGTCCTGAATGCAGGCTTAATTCGTTGATTTGTGCAACTAAGGCTGTTCAGCAGTAGTAAGCCTGCCCTTTCAGAAAAATGTACTGTGCCAAATGAAAGCATTATCTTAAATTTAGAAAGACACTTAAAACTGCCGGCAATAAAATCTTGAGAAATCTCCAGTGAAAAAAACAATAGTCTCACAGTGCATGTTATTCTCTGGTGCGCCTGTTGATTTTTGCTGAAATGAGGCTGTTGCTTTGTTCTTTGTCAGCTTGGTTTTTTTTCAGCTAGTGGAAATGGTAGGATCAGCACAAGTTAGTTTTATTAGTTTATTACACCTATAGATGCTAATAAGGTTTTGATTTGTGTTGTGCTTTTCTTTGCAGACTTCTGTATGGCTTTTGAATTTTAGTTGAAATTCCCTCCATGGCCTTTTGGAGTCCCTTGCTGTGTCTCCAGAGTAAATTTCTCTTACTCTACATTTCATCAATGTTGGAGTGGCAAGAAAAAGGTGGAACTGATTTGGGGTGAAAAGGTTAGATTGTATAACTTTGGGATTTCTTCCAATATGGCTTTATTTATGTTTTACTTTTACGTTACGCTTTTCTAATTTCTCAGCCTCATCCAATGTCCCTTTTTGCCTGCAGAAAGTTTTGACAGTTATGAAATCAGGAAATATGTTCCAATTGTTTTTTTGAAGGTCCATGTCACTGTAAACAAATTAAGCCTCATTCGTCAGGATTCCTTATTGGTGTGTGTTCTCTTGGAGAGTAAATCTTCCAGTGAGCATAATTATTAGGTTATCAAAGTAAGGAAAGTATTGAACTGTAATCACTTTCTGTGTATAAGCCTGCCTAACCTCCATGTTAAGTTACTGTATAAGTAAGTTGGTTGCTAAGTATTCTCCTTTACAGTTAGTAAGCCTTATATACTTGCCAGAAAATATTGGATGAAAGAAATGTGCCCTGCCATTCCCTAATAATATTGTTCTCAAAATTCTTCCATCGTTTTTTGGAGAGGTAGGTTAAAGAGCTCGTCTCTGGTTCCTTCTTGTGTTTCATACCAGTAGTTGTGATTGTCTTCTAATTCACATTTTGATATCTCTGTTTTAAATAATTAGCTCCTGGTAAGAGATTTTGTGTGTGTATGTATGTGTATGCATATGTGTGCATATATAGACATAAATATGTATTTATATACTCTATATGCATGTATTGATTGACCTATTTATGAAACTAAAAAAGATCAGAGGTCTTCATTTAAGTGACTAAAGAACGTTGGAGAATAGCTTAAATTACCTGCTTGAAGGTAAAGAGGTTTTCATGTTCTTTTGGGATGTCAAAACTTAATTCTTAAATATCTTTTCTCTGTTGGCTTGGGCAAAATGTTTTGTAAGTATTTATTATGAGTCCCAAATTTGTAAAAGCAGTCAGGTATGGCGGTGTATGCCTCTAACCCCAGCACTTGGGAGGCTGAGCCAGGAGACTCTCAGTGAGTTGGAGGCCAGCCTGCACTACATAGTGAGATCCTGCCTCAAAATTTTTTTTTCTTGTAAAAGCGTTTATTTTGGGCTTTGAATATATTGGCATAAAAATAATTTAGGTATACTGTAGCCAGTTTCTATATAAGTGGGATATATATGTACTTGAGGAAATTCTACACTAGACTCAGCTTAATTTTCTTTAATTTTTGTGGTGCTGGGATCACATGCAGGGCTTCACATCTGCTAGGCAGGTGCTCTGCATCTGAGCTATTTAGCTTAACTTTAATCAGAGTAATCACAGGAAGAGCTTGGGAATTTTTGTATATCTTAAGAAATGATAACGGTAAGGTTTGGGAATAATTCTTTTCTTTGGTTGATATAATTAGATACCATTTTAGTTCAGGGTATTGTAACTGCCATAGACTGGAGGGTTTAAATAAACATTTATTTTTCACAGTTGTGGGGGTGGGGAGGCTAGAAAATTTAACCTCACCAGGCAGGTCCAGTGTCTAATGAGGCCCTATTTCCTGGTTAAATCCTGTATGGCAGCAGAGAGAAGGCTCCGTTTTCTTCTCCTAGGGGTCCTAATCCCATTCAGAGGGCTCTGCTCTCACAACCCTCCCAGTAGCCCCACCTCCTAATGCTACCATGTTAGAGATTTAGGATTTTCTTTCTCTTTCTCTTTCTCTTTCTCTTTCTCTTTCTCTTTCTCTTTCTCTTTCTCTTTCTCTTTCTCTTTCTCTCACTCTTTCTCTCTCTCTCTTTCTCTCTCTTTTTCTCTCTCTTTCTTTCTCTTTCTCTTCTTGTTTTTTTTTTTAGACCAGTCTCCCTACATAGTTCAGACTAGCCTTGAACTCTAGGTAGCCTCAAACTCCTGAGTGCTAGGATTACAGGGATGTGCTACCATGTCTGGCATGGGTTAGGATTTGTTATGGTTTGTGTTTGGGTGTTTCCCCCAAAGCCTCATGCAGTCCTGGGGCAGGCTTTTAGACTTCGATTGATTTTGGGTGTGAGAGCTACACCCGCCCTGGGGTGGATAGTTTGCATATATAAGGGAGAGGAAGAGGCCACCATTCCTCCCTTGTGTGTTTTTGGCTTTTGCTGTGTTCTGCCGCCATTAGCTGTAGCCCTCTGCCATGTGCCGCTCTGCCTTGTAACCTGCCAAGTATGGACTGAAACCTCCACAAACTGTAAACAAAATAAACCTTTCTTTCCTTAATTTTGGGCGTAAAGTATTTTGTCCCAGCAATGAGAGAAAAGTAACCAAGACAGGATTTCAGCACATGAATTTTAGGGGATACAAATGGTCTGTAGCAATATCGGTTAATAGGGAGAGTAGATCTGGTCTGCAATATACTACCACCTAAATCTGTAATTATTATTGGATAATATTTAAATACGTTTCTTTTTCTGATTACATGATTTTGCACATTGAAATTTCGTGTAATTTTTTGGATAAGAAGCTCAAAGGTTTTGAGTTAGAAAGATACCATTGAAAAAAATTTTAAGTTTGCTGATTTCATGAAGTATATACAGTTGGCCCTCAGTATGCATGGGGGATTGATTCCAGGACCCCTTGTGTATATCAGAATCTAAGGGTGCCCAAGTCCCTTGTATAAAGTGGAGTGGTATTTGCATATAACCTACACATCTTTCCATGTGGTCTGGGGTTTTGGTTTTTTGTCTGTTTTTTTTAAACAAGGTCTTTCTATATTGCCCAGGCTGGTGTCAAATTCCTCAGCTCAAGCAATCCTTCTGCCTCAGCTTCGGTAGTACCTGAACTGCAAGCAGGTGCCACCACAGTTTATTCTCCTATATTCTTTACCTCATCTCTAGATTATTTGTACTTAATACAGTGTAAATAGTTGTTATACTGTGTTTAGGGAATAGCGACAAGAAAAAGGTCTATACATATTCAGTCCTGATGTAATTTTTTTCAGATGTTTCCCATCTGCACTTGCTTGAGTCCTTAAATGTAGCATTTATATCATGTTTGCAAAGACTTCCAAGTTTATTAGTGCATTAGCAGTGTCTCCCACTATTAGTTAATTTGTGGAATTCTTACATTAAACTTTCAGTTCTGAGAGTGACCATTATTAAGGCTAGGAAGAGGGTTTCGACAGAAAAGACTGCATTTTCTTTTTATAACCATATGTCTTCTGTAGTTTCAGAAATACTGTTTTTCCATGTATTATGCTTAAAAATATTGACTTGCACTGGAGAAAGCTGGGTTTGAGTCAAACTCTCCACTTAAATTTATGCACCTTTCATGTGTGTGGGCCCATTGCCCTGCCTAGATCTGCAAGCACTTCTCAGGTCTCTTACCCATGTGTGTGCCATAGGTAATACAGTCTGTATAAGGTTATAAACTATATTTGTATGTTTAAATTTTAATTTATGAAGAACTTTCATGTTTACACTATTGGCATCCTTTTAAAAAAGTTTGTAGTCCGTCATGCATAATTGAAAAGCAGCATACAATTTATGGCAGAGAACACAGTGAAATTTATAATGTGACAATGTGATAATAGCCAAGATTGTCAAAATATGTCAGCCATCTTCTGTAATTGGGCTCATTTATGTTCTTAAAGCTGAGATGCATGTATAAAAATATCATTTTCTTCTGCTCGCTTACTGGCAGTCTTAGGTATTTTTACTGCTTTGTCACATGTTGTACTGTAATGGTATTATGCTTTCTAGTCAAGAATTTTATGGTTTCTCTTGCTTATTGAAGCCTAACAAAGTAAATTCATTTTTGGGAACATGTATCAGTTTTCATAGTAGGCACTGTGATGATAAATCACAATGTGAGTACTAGGGCTTTGTTATGTGTGTTGCACTGGGGATTGAACACAGGGCCTTCACACTGAGCTATAGTCCCAACTGGTATGATTTTTTGTGAGTTTTTTTGTTTTGTTTTGTTTTGTTTCTGTTTTTTTTTTTTTTTTGGTATTTTGAGATGAAGTCCTGTTAAATTGCCCAGGGGTCAAGCTTACAGTCCTCTTGCCTCAGCCTTCCAGAGGACTGGGATTACAAGTTTGTACTGCCATATCCAACTGGAATTTTGTTGTTAATTATACCTTTATAGTTAGAACACAGACAATCTGATAGGGCCTTACAATTCTTAAATTCTCATCTTTTTCATTGGGGCTGAGTAGGTCATGTTTTCTAACCAAAGGGCAAAAATTGAAGGACAGATAATCAGCAGACTCAACTACAGTCACAAAACAAAAGTAATGTAATAGCAGAATCAGTTCAGGTATACAGAGTAGATAGGAAAAATCTGAAATGTACTTGTTCAAAAGCCAACAATAATCCATAAAATTGAGAAAGCTGAGCCAGACTAAAGTAAATGATTTAAAGAGGTGACCTAAAAGTAAAATAAAAGATGAATTTGAGAAATTGCAGCTGGAGTTAGGAAATTACAAATTGGGATATATGAATTAATGAGACTAAGATGATTCCTGTTTATTTCATTGAATTAAAGAGCAGATGAGTGTTTAGTATATTCTTCAAGCTGATGAACTGATACAATATAGGTAAAAAACACCCGTTGAGATAGTGAGAAATTTTTAATCGAAGGTATAATTTTTTGCTGCAACAGTTATTATAAAGCTAGGATTGTCTGATAGTTTACCATATACCTATATGTTGTGAGACTGTGTATACTAAAGTATAAAGCCTAAAATAACCTTGCAAGTTATTACTATTTTTTATTAGTACATGTTTGCAGTACATAATAATTACATTTATCCTGGGGAATTGGTACATGTACATATCTCTCTTTTTTTTTTTTTTTTTCATCCTCTACCCTTCCCTCCCTGCACCTTCCAACTTTTGGTCCCCTTCCCATTTGTGAAGCTCGATTTCCACATTTTCCCTTTAATTTTTTTTTCCCATCTGCTTTCCTACTTTCCTTCCCCACTCCATCTCTTGTTCCTCCTCCCATATGAACAAGATCTCCCTACTTATTATTATCTTTTATTTTGCTCTTTGTTTATATTTTGGATTTCTCATACAAGAGAAACCATGCTGTATTTAAGCTTGTGTGTCTGAGTTATTTCATTTAGTATTATGGTCTCAAGGCATATCTGTTTACCCACAAATGCCTCAAGTTCTTTGTGGCAAAGTAGTACTCCATTGTGTATAAATACCATATTTTCTTTACCCATTCATCTATTGATGAGAATGTAAGCTGTTTCCATGATTTAGTAATTATAACTTGTGCTGCTATAAACATGGGTATGTGTGTATCACTATAATATGATGTCTTTAACTCTTTTGGGAAAATTCTCAGAAGGTGAATAGCTAGGTCAAATGGAATTCCTATTTTTTGATTTTTTTTTTCAGAATCTCCATATTGATTTCCATAATGGTGGTACTGCTTTACATACAAGTTATTACTATTGTCCCAGTTTTTAAAATAGGAAGCTAAGGCTGAGTCTCTTTTTGTTCAGATACTAAATCTAGTGAGTTTGACCTAACACCAGAACACTCCATTCATCTACAGGATAGACTTTCAGTAATCTCGACTCTAGAGAGAACAGTGAAACAAGATAGTGCTACTACTACTAAGAATAATAATAATAAAAACGCTCTAGGAAACTTCTGAGGAGAGAGAAAAGAACTGTTCCCAAATGTTGCATTAAGTAAGAATTCAGTCACCTGCAGATTCTTACTTGGCTAAATGTGTTTAGAATAAAGAACAGATTAGATGTAAGGAAAGAGGAAGATAAATGTGAAAATAAAATATTAGTTTGGTGCTAGTAAACGTAAAGGAAAATAAGAAGCATCTTTCATTGGTTCTTTTTTTTTTTTTTTTTTTTTTTTGCGGTACCAGGGATTGAACTCAGGACCTTGCACTTGCCAGGCAGAAGCTTATGCCACTGAGCTATATCCCCAGCCCCCTTTCATTGGTTCTTAAAGATATCATGGGTGTTCTCATAAAAGCATAATGATCTAGAATACTGGCATAGTCAAGGATTGGTTTATTTCCAGATGATTTCTTAGGTAAGTCAAAGTGCAGAATTTTAATTCTTAAAAGATTGGTCCAGTTTTTTGTAAATTGGGAAATGTGCTTTGGTGAAAGCCCTTCTTGCCTTAACCCCACAATTCTCCCACTTAAAATGTAGGCTAAACAGGACAAAGATAGTCTACACAGGCCATGAAAACAAAAACAGGATAAACAGGCCAGTGGAACAGAGTAGAGAATCTAGAAATACAGTTACATAAACGTACCACCTGATTTAGAAAGGTGATAGTGGAGCATAGTGGAGACTTTAATTGCACATTGCTAGAACAATTGGATATCTTCTTGGAAACAAGTATGTTTTGACAGTTCCCTCACACCATACACAAAACTAAATTATGGACAAAAATATGAAAAGTAAAAAAAATGCAACTTTTAGGAACTGTAGGAGGACATTTTCAAGTAAAATATAGGTAAGGATTTCTTCAGTGGACACAACCCTAAACGTAAAGGGGAAAAATGGGCAAATTGGACTACATTAAAATTTATATTTGTTAAAAGCTACCGTTATGTTGAAACCAGAGTGGAAGAAAGTACTTGAAATGCACATATCTAATAAAGGACTAATATCCAGAATATTACAAAGAATTCTCACAGCCAGAGTATGATGGCACATCCCTGTAAGTAATCCCAGTTAGTTGGGAGGCTGAGGCAAGAGGATCACAAGTTAAAGGTCAGCATGGCAATTTAGCCTAGTGGTGGTGAACCTATTGCACGTGTACCACAGCGGGCTGTTGGTGTCATTGAAAGCGCTAAAGGTTTGCCATCACTGTAGTATCGCCCATTGTGTGAACGTGCTACAACTAATTTATCTATTTTACTGAGATTTATTTTAATAGTTTCCAGTATTTGCCTATTGTACTTTCTTTCCATCTTTTATGACTCTGAATCCCAGTTTGATGATTATGTGTATTTGTTTTTCTTCATGTTGTGTGTCTGTACTTCAAGAATATTATCTGATATTTACAGGCACTGTGTTTTCTGTTACTTGTACAGTATCTTGCACAAAATGGTTTGTATCACTGTTGCTTTATTGTGTATTGGGTATGAAAAATTATTTCAAATTTTTTTCCCTAGGTATAACAGATTTTAAACTTAAAAAAAGGCAAAGATGGGTGAAAAGAAACCAGAACCTTTGGACTTTGTGAAAGATTTTCAGGAATACCTGACTCAGCAGACCCATCATGTGAACATGATTTCTGGATCAGTTAGTGGGGACAAAGAAGCAGAGGCTCTTCAGGGAGGTAGGCTCATCTTAGTATTCTTAAATAGTTCACTTTTGTAAATTCATTAATGTTCGTCTGTAGTTATCTCTGCTAGGAAGACCACTACTAACTAATGTGGACCATTCCGTCTTTTACTAGAAAGATACAGTACAAGGCAGGTTTTTTTTTTTTTCTTTTAAACATGCTGTAGTTTTGCTAATAGAGAAAGACTTAATATAGTTTATAGATGCATTATGGTCTTGTTAGAAGGTCGGGCCTTCTAAATCCCCTGCCAGTCCTCCAGGGTCTGTTAGCTAACAATAATAGCCTTGAGGAACTCAGATGAGATCAGGAAATACAGGTCTTTCTGTTTTTCTCCTGAGAAACTAGATTAGAAAAAGCAGAGAGGAGCTGAGCCTGCTAGAGTTAAAAGTTCTCTGGTTTGCAGACCACACAGACTAGAATGTATTCCTAAACCTAGCTCAGGGTCAACAGACTATGTCCTGTGTATTTCATCTGGACTGCTGTTTTCATGTACCTTACAAGCTAAGAATGTTTTTTACATTTAAAAATGGTTGGAAAAAACTCAAGAATAATGTCATAACACATGAAAATTATGTGAAATTCAGACACCATCCATGAATAAAACTTTATTGGAACACTTACATGCTCACTTGTTTACACATTTCCTATATGTTGTTTTTATGGCACAATAGCAGAGTTGAGTAGTTATAATGAAGGCAAACCCCACAAAGCTTGAAATGTTTACTATCCTATCTCTATAGAAGTTTGCAGATCTCTGGCCTACATGGTCTCAGGTGACAGCAGAGCTCAGGCATCACCTGGCAACCTGTTAGAAATGGGAAACACCAGACCTCACCCCAATTCAGTGAATTCCCAAGTGATTTATGCACAAACCAAAATGTGAGAGTCACTGGCTGGTAAAGCAGCAGGAGAAAGGGGTCTTGTTCCTCCAGTGTAGTGGCCCTGTTTGATATAGGACTTGCCCCAATCAGCAGATCATTTCTCCCAGTGAGGGTGGAGTGGAGATTGAATTCTTCATGCCAGTATCTGCTACATCAAGGGATGGAGAAGTCCTTTTCCCACGAAGCTGCAGGAAGCTTTCCCTCCTAATGCTAGGGATACCTGGAACCAGAGGCTGTAGTCCATGACATTTGTTGGTTTCCTGATTGAATACCTGACCCTTCAGTTTCCTTAAACAACGTAGTCTGATTAGAATTAAAGGAAACACCCAAACATCCTTTATCTCTGAAATTCTTACCGTCCTAACATTCAGAGGAATCAGATACAATATTTTCTTTTATGTGCTTAATTAGAACTTTAGGATCTTGAATGTAGCTCACAATCTAGAACATACATAAACTGAGTGGAACTAATTGTTTTAGACTAAAATAATCTGACTTTTAGAGGCTATTATGACTGTTAATCACAGTTGTAATTGCATCTTACACACCTGCATATAATTGTGCCATCACTCTCAAATGGCTCTTTTTAGCCCCTTTCTTCAAAGGCATATTGAGAAAAAGAAAAGCATTTTGAGGACTGGTTGAATTTATGTGTAAATAATGAGATCCCCCTATAGAAGGTTCTCAAAATATAATCTTGCTTTTATACAGAATTAACCTCAGTTCATCTCTAGTGTGAGAAACTGAAAGTATAAGCAAGGACCAAAATGTGTAATAGATATTGTGAAATAGGAAGAAAATGTTCAGATGGGAAGGGAAACTAAGGAGCAGGGAGAGGAAAAGGGAAAAAAAATAATGAAGAAAGGAGGGAAAAATGAAAACAGAGTTTCTGTAAATGACGGGAAGCGGGGAGAGGAGGGGAAAAAGTTATGTCATGCACATATACAAATTCTCTGTAATGAATGTGATTAATGTATACTTAAAATGTACCAATATATTTAATTTTTAAGAAGAGAAAAAATAACCTCAGTTCAGAAAGCCTGTTATTTTATGAATTTAACTTATAGGAAGTGAATTTATGAAAGATTTTCAGCCAATTAAGATTAAATGCTAAGTAGACTTGATTCTGAGATACATAATTTTTTTGCTATACTTTGTTTATAGCTGGAACAGATGGCGATCAAAATGGACTTGATCATCCATCTGTTGAAGTTTCTCTGGATGAAAACTCAGGAATGTTAGTAGACGGGTTTGAAAGGACTTTTGATGGGAAGCTCAAGTGTCGGTACTGCAACTATGCCAGCAAAGGAACAGCACGGCTTATCGAACACATTAGAATCCATACAGGTAATGGAGAAACAACTAGAAAAACCATTTCTCTTCCTGTGTTTTTTTATTTTTGAGATAGGATCTCATTTTGTCATCCAAATTGGCCTCAAATTCATGATCCTCCTGCCTCAACCTCCCCAATGCTGGGATTACATGTATGCACTAGCACCCACTGCTGTAGAAGGGTCAAGGAGTGCAGTTCATTTGGTCAGTCTTACGAACAGTTCTGATTATTCACAAATGAAGGTTTATAAGGTTTAAATCAATGGTACAGTTACCTCATTCCTTAGAAAGCAGTAGCTTTTTGGCATACAAATAGTGGTAAATAAGGCTATTTGCAGAGCTCCTCCTTCCCTAGCCATTTCACTGCTTGAGCCATATAATTTCTTCATATCTTATTTGCCTATCAGGTGAGGGAGGTCCATGCTAAGAGCACTATGGAGTGATAGACAATGCCTGTCTTTATCTTCACCTAGCACATTTCAGTTCTAGAGAAGGAGAAAAGTTTTATACAGTTGCAGGCTGCTGCTAAGCCCATGTGTCACAAATCCTTTTCTGAGAAACTTTCTTAACTGCACCCTGCCCCTGACCTGGATTAGGCATGTGTCTTGGTTACTTTTCTCTGGTTGCTGAGACAAAATAACCCAACGCCCAAAATTAAGGAAGGGAAGGTTTATTTAGCTTAGTTTGTGGAGGTTACAGGCCATACTTGGCTGGCTCCGAGGCAGAAGATAACAAAACAAAAAGAGCAAAGGGGGAATGGCAGCCGAACAGCAAACAGCCAGAGCAAAAGGGAGGAATGGCCGCAAGCAGCCCCTTTCCCTCCCTTACATTGTAAACAGGTTACCCCCACAGTAGGGGGCATGTAGCTCTCACATAATCTCCATGCCCTCCTGTTCCACAGGCTCAGGATGTATACAAAGTAAGCAGCCTGGCTTCCAGTTGAGTCACTTAGCCAAACCTCTAGACTCCCCAAGTTGACACAATGTATCAACCGTAACCCCTTGTCAACTTGGCAACCAGACACATTTCTTTAAACAAGTTTCCAGATACAAAGACATTGTATTACATTAGAACCATAACATTTCACCCCCTAAAGACTCATGCACATCCCTTAAAAGGCATTTAGTCTGTCTGCAAGAGTTGCCAGAGGCCTGTTTCAGCACTGCTGAAGAGTCCAAGTCCCAAGCCTCCTCCGAGATGTAAGGCAAACTCTTAGCTGTGAGGCCCTGTACAAATGAAAAGTTAAACACTTTCAACATTCAAAGGCACAAAATAATACCATTCTAAAAGGTACAAACGGGGATACAGAGCATTGGGACCAAAGCAGGTCCAAAATCCAGCAGGGCTAATGTTATGTCCTATAGTTCATGTCCAGCATCTGAAGCAATCTGGCACCTTGTGAGCCTCAAAGGGCTTGCATGAGTCCACCCCTGTGGCACTTCTGCTGGTTACAGCTTCCATGGCTTCTCTCTTAGGCCTGCTTTGCCTCTTCCTTGCAGCTTTCCTTAGATGATCCACGGTCCTGGCTTTTCTAAACTTCTGAGGTCTCCAGTGCACATTTCGATTCACACTCACAGCCTCACACACTGCCCTCTCAGGGGCACACTACTGGGCCTTCCAGACCTTCTGAAATCTGGGTGGAAGCCTCTTTAACCTCAGAACCCTTGCATTCGCCATGCACCCAAAGCCAGAGCCACGGGGATGATGCCAAGGTCTGCTGCCACCTGGAGCAGTAGCCAAGCTTTCCTCTCTGTTGGCCACAGGGATTGAGTGCCTGGATTGCTGGGCACTCTGAATCCAATTCTGAGGAACAGATCCTCTATGCTGCCGCCATTCTGGAACCTGGTGCAGCCGCAGCCGCCATTCTGGAACATGGCACTCAGCAGCTTTCTTCTCAAGGCAAGGTCTTTCATGTTTGCAGTTTGAGGCTGCAAAGGGTGGAGACTTGCTGCTTCTTGTGATGCCCTCAGGCCATCTTTTTTATTTTCTTGTTCCTTCTCAGCAATGGAGATTCCTCAGCTCCACCTTTGCGGTCCACAGCTTTACTGGAGCTTCCTTTCTGGCCAAACTCACAACATTTTAAATCATTCTGCTGGGCTCTTTGTTCATGATTTTCAATATAAATCTGGCTAAAAGCCCCCAGCAATAGCCATGCCACTTCCCCAACGCTTTACTGCCTTGAAATTCCTTTTGCCAGATTAATCAGTCCACCACCGCCACCCTTAATCTCAGTCTCAGGCAAAGTCTCTGGACACGAGCAAAATGCAGACAAACTTTCTGCCAAGCCATAACACACACGGTCTGGAGTCCAACCACCAATGGAGTCCTTCTTCCCAACAGAAACCTCCCGAACCCAGTCTTCACCAGCAGGATTTCTGTCAGCTTTCTGATCTTCTGAGCTCTGACCAGAATCTCCCAAACAGAACAGCCAAAGGCATTCAAGCTCTACTCTTTAAGGCGACATCTCCGAACCTTTCCAAACTCTTCTCACAAGCCATTTCCAAAGGCTCTTGAACCACATGGTCAGGTATAGTCATAGCAACAGCTCCACTCTTCTGGTACCAAATTCTGTCTTGGTTACTTTTCTCTCGTTGCTGAGACAAAATATCCAATGGCCAAAATTAAGGAAGGGAAGGTTTATTTAGCTTACAGTTTGTGGAGGTTACAGGCCATACTTGGCTGGCTCCGAGGCAGAAGATAACAAAACAAAAAGAGCAAAGGGGGAATGGCAGCCAAACAGCAAACAGCCAGAGCAAAAGGGAGGAATGGCCGCAAGCAGCCCCTTTCCCTCCCTTACATTGTAAACAGGTTACCCCCACAGTAGGGGGCATGTAGCATAATCACATAATCTCCATGCCCTCTTCCACAGGCTCAGGATGTATACAAAGTAAGCAGCCTGGCTTCCTGCTGAGTCACTTGGCCAAACCTCTAGACTCCCCAAGTTGACACAGTGTATCAACCATAACAGCATGGTGTCTTCCCTGTGTGCTCCCTGGCATCTTGTGCTCATTCATCATGTTACCACAGTGGTCTGATAACCACTTGAGGACAAGGATCATGATGAGGCCATCTTTGTACCCTCAGAGCCTAGCAGACCATCTGGCAAAAAGAAGGTGCTCAGGACTTGGTAGATGAATGACTCTACACATCATATTCTAAATACGTGTATGTTTTAGAAATCGTCAGCTAACAGCATTAACTAAAATTGTACCTTCTGGCAACTGAAGAGTAAGAAGGTGGAGGAAAAGTGAAATTTTGATGGGTTAATTTGCATAAGTCATATAGGGACTGGGATACTCACTTTGGGTCTGTGCTTTTTTCTTTTGGAGACAGGGTCTCACTATGCAATTCAGTCTGGCCCTGAGCTCACTTTGTAGCCCAGGCTGGTCTGAAACTCACAACAGTACTCCTCCCTCAGCCTCTTGAGTGCTGGGAATATAGGCGTGTGCCACCACGGCTGGCTGTGCTATTTCACATAAGGACCTTTTTTCAAAATTTTGTTTTGTTTTCCCTTGAAGAAAGAGTGTACATATGTGTGTTTATGAATAAATAAGTGTTTAAGTATAGATGAATGTATGAACATATAATAACTCTGAGGCATACTGTTGATAGAATCATTATTTTGTAGAAATACTGTAATGTGTTATTTCTCCTTTCCAAAAATGTGAGTTGAAGCCATAACAATTTTCATACTACATTGACTAGTAGAATCTAAATGTATATCTCACATTGTTGCTGAAGAGTTTTTAGGTTTTATTTTACAGACTTAAGTAATCTTTTATGCAAGTGTGAATTTCTGAAAAGCATTTTATTTTTATCAATTCCCAAATGCAGTGAATGGACAAACATGAAACTACATAAATGAGCTACTTTTACAGTTTCTCCCATATTTTCCTACTTTAAATAGGTGAAAAACCTCATAGATGTCACCTGTGTCCATTTGCATCTGCTTATGAACGTCATCTGGAAGCTCATATGCGTTCCCATACTGGAGAAAAACCATACAAATGTGAATTATGTTCCTTCCGCTGCAGCGATCGAAGTAATTTGTCCCACCATCGAAGACGCAAGCATAAAATGGTGCCAATTAAAGGTACTAGGTCTTCCTTGAGCAGCAAGAAAATGTGGGGGGTTTTACAGAAGAAAACAAGCAATCTGGGGTATAGCAGAAGAGCACTAATCAATTTAAGTCCACCTTCCATGGTGGTTCAGAAACCAGACTACCTTAATGATTTTACCCATGAAATCCCAAGTATCCAGACGGACTCCTATGAAAGTATGACGAAAACTACGCCAGCTGGTGGCCTACCAAGGGACCCCCAAGAACTCATGGTTGACAACCCTTTAAATCAGCTCTCCACTCTCGCAGGACAGTTGTCCAGTTTGCCACCTGAAAACCAAAACCCTGCATCCCCTGATGTAGTCCCCTGCCCTGATGAAAAGCCTTTCATGATTCAGCAGCCTTCTGCCCAAGCAGTGGTTTCTGCTGTGTCAGCAAGTATTCCTCAGAGCTCCTCTCCCACAAGCCCTGAGCCTCGGCCATCCCATAGTCAGAGGAACTACAGTCCAGTGGCAGGTCCAAGCAGTGAACCAAGTGCCCACACCAGTACTCCCAGCATAGGAAACAGCCAGCCAAGCACTCCAGCCCCAACTCTGCCGATCCAGGACCCTCAGCTTCTGCACCACTGCCAGCACTGTGACATGTACTTTGCAGACAATATCCTTTACACTATTCATATGGGATGTCATGGGTATGAAAATCCTTTTCAGTGTAATATATGTGGATGCAAATGTAAAAACAAGTACGATTTTGCCTGTCATTTTGCAAGAGGGCAACATAACCAACACTGAAAACAATCAGATTATGTTTTACTTGGTTTGGCTTTTTGGGGGTTTGTGGTTTGGTTTTTGTTTTTGATCATCCCTCATAAGGTATGTACTAATTTAAAGTTTATATATACTATATTTATAAAATTTAAATTTGACAGTGGGAAAAATTTTTTCTTCCCTTTATTTTCCATAAAAGTCTGGCCACAATCTCTTATGTATTAGAATAGACACATTTATATGTATTTTTTCCTTTCATTTAGATACTTAAGTATACAAATACAGTCAATCTTAATAGGTATTCATTTAAATTTCCCGCATACATGGACAAGGTTTATCCATACTCTTGATATTTTCAATAGATACGTTACTGATAGATTCTGATTCTGCCATATTTTACAATGGCAGAATAAATCTGTTACAGCTTACTTCAGTGTTGGTAGAGAAATTGCCTTTAAGTTGCTCCTAATTGAAATACTAGTTTGTACACCTTAAGTTGAGTCAGTACTTTCCTTTCAGCTGATAACAGTAAAGTTATTTCAAGTTAGTTAATCTTGAATTTTTCTATAAAGGGAAATGTGAAACAATACTTTTAAAATTAAAGTTATGAAAATACATGAAAGTTCTGAAAAGAAACTCAAGATTCTAAATTGAAATTGAGTTTAATATCTAAAATACCTGCTTACTCAATGTCTAAACACTTGTCAGTTTTCCATTGAATTTATTTCATTTCTTTTTAAAAATCATAGTTAAAAGATAGTAGAGTGCTAGATGCCTTTTTTCATTTTAAACTTTCCAACTAAATTCATTTTGATGTTATTAGTGTCAGGTGAGGTTGGTAACTATAGTGAGAAACTGTTACGCTCCCTATTCTTTTGATGACCAAAGAGGTACTATGGAAGTTATCTGTCTTTATTATTAAGATTCAGTTTTTCAAAAAAATCTCCATTTCCCTTTTGTTGCCTTCTAAGCGTTTATTGCCCCTAATTTCTAAGAAAATATGGGTATAGAAATACGTGGGGAAATGTGATAGTAATACAGTAATATGTGTCCAGAACACATCCTGGTCTCCTCTTCAGAGTTGGCCATTTAAAATATTTTCTGTGAATTCAAATTGTAATTCTTACTTGCAGTTCTCCCAGTTTCCATGTGCAGTGACAATACTTACTATATGGAAACTGTGACTGAATCATCATCACTTTAGTAGGGAAGAATTAAAAAGTATGAAAATGAATATAAAATGCTTTTAAACATGTCATTTGTTTATAAAAGGCTTGCTAAACCTAGAGTGATTCATTTTGAATAGGACGCTATTGTTTTTATATTATGTAATAAACTAGCTTACTCTGAAGAGAGTTTGGTTAAACAATAAAATATTGTTACTAACTTGGTTTCTGTGTACTTTGCAAAACTTTTTTTATTTGATTCATATTTTGAAAATACTCATAATTGGCTTCTTAAAATACTGTAACCAAAATATTTTAACCAAAAAGGACCTGTACTATAGCAAATAAAAGGGAAATGTTAATGGCATCTGCCCACAAAAACACCAAGTGCCAAGTTAATGAGCCCTTTGCTCTCCCTATGCTAGAAAGCCATTAAAAATGAGTGCTGGTGGTTGTTATAGCCACTGTCAGCTCATCTTAAGGACACTTTATCCAAACAGGAACTCTTTTCCTTATCAAATCTTGTGACACTAAAAGTTCTGTTTTTCCTCTGTTGCTTAAATCACTCACTGCTCAGATCAATTTTAGTGCAATTTGCAAATTCATAACTTGGTTCTAGTCCTTGTCTGTTTCCAGAAAGAAACTGTTGTCATTTGGAAGCTTTGTAATTATTTTTTTCCTTCAATTTTAGTATTCAAATAAAAGCAATATTCTAGAATGGAAAATGAAAAATTAAACAAAGAGAAAGAACTCTCCTTAAAACCAGTTTATTAACTGTATATTCTGGGCCAAATAGTGACGATTAAATTTTTCTAATAAAAATGGATGTTTTGAAGGTGCATTTTAAATTAAACATGGGAAAGACTTTTTGTTACAAACTAGAATGTAAAATTCTAATTTCCTATCACTTAAAGAGCACAGTTGGTTCCAAAGTTGTTAATGCTTAAAAGCTATAATTACTTCTAAATGCACTAAAAATTTTGAAACAAACCTTAGAAACTTCTGGTATTATACTTTTTAAAAGATCTAGGGTTTCATTTAAATTTCCTGAGTTAAATTCTGTATTTGGAAAGATGTTAGGGTCTTCCCTAAAATACTCAATGTGTTCCTCTGATCTTATTTTTAATCAAGTATTTTATAGAAATGAATTTGAAAAAGCTTAACATGCACTATTTACTTTGCCACTCGAGCCGGGCGTGGTGGTGCATGCCTGTAATCCCAGCACTCGGGAGGCTGAGGCAGGAGGATCATTTCGAGTTCGAGGCCAGCCTGGGCTACAAAGTGAGCCCAAGGCCAGCCTGAACTGCATAGCGAGACCCTGTCTCAAAAAGACAAAAAAAAACAAAAAACAAAATAGAGTACTTTGCCACTAATAGGCAATGTTCTGAAACAATGTATTTTTGTTCAGTGAACATAAGTTTAGATTTTTAAAGTTGGTAGATAATTTATCTCCACTAATATTTTTTTAAGAAACTGTGAAGAGATTAACAGGGGATAATTTTATTTCAGATATTTCTAATGTAGTTTGTAGCTGCAACTTCTAGAAATTCAAGTAAAGGCTAGACTTTTACTTTGAAAAAATTTACAGTGGTTATTTCCAGTGCTATTTCATTTTGGAAATAAATGTTTGCCATTCATATGCAGAATCATTTGACAAAGGGAATATTACTTCAAAGATAGAGATAAACCTCATCTTAAGTTCTATAAAAATATTTATCTAATGAATGTGTTGAAAACTTTTAAATTCCCTGCTAAAGATTTTTTCTTTAGTCTTAGAGGGTATATGCTTTCTAGAACTTTTTGTTAATATGTACTTTGATGTAAGAACATATTTTGTATGCAAAGCACAAATCTTACATTATGGTTGTAATGCATTATATTGTTTAGGGATCCAAAAGACAGGTTAATGCTGAAATAACTATCTAGTATATAGTTCATATTGTGAATGAAGCCTTGGTTTTGTAAAATATGAATAAAAAATAACACTTTCTATTCTAACAATTTTTCTTTTTGGAAAACTACTATCAAAATTAGCTTTGTAGTAATTTTCTGATATATAACTTGTTAATAAAAGAAAAAGATCTTGTGGCTACACTCATTTAAATTTATGGACTGCCTTACATGCAAAGATCTATCATAAGTTACTAACAGCTATGTATATATGCAACTGGTCTCCATCCTAGTTTCTTCTTTTTATTCAAGATTCATTTAACCTGACTCTTGTACCCTGTGGGTTCTGGCATATTGGGAGGGTTCTATCATATCCATGGGGAAGGCTGCCTCAGGTTCTTAATTACCCGTGTCATATCTGACAAGTGACAGACTCAAGTTAATTTTTGTAACAAGTAGATCTTTTAGAATAAACGCACTTCTTTTGAGACAAGGTCTCACTATATAGCTAAGGCTAGCTTAGAATTCATAATCCTCCTGCCTTAGGGTCCCAAGTGCTAGGATTATAGACATGTGCCACCATACCTGGGGTTTTTTTTTTTTTTTTTTTGGTATCAGGAATCGAAGTCAGGGCCTCGAGCTTGCTAGGCAGGCAATGCTCTGCTGAGCTGTATCCTTGGCGCTTTTCTTTTTAAAAGAATGGTATTTGGCAGTTCACACTGGCCTAGAAAACATCTTGAAATACAAAATTATTCTTTTAACTTGTTTGCAAATGCCTATCAAAATCAGACATTTTATTGGAAATTTAGAAAATTTAATGTTGGTGTTGCTTTGAAAAATATTTCTGTACAATATTATCTTTCTCATCACAAAAAAAAGAAACAACATCAGATAAGTCGGTGGTTTGCTGAAAGCACAGTTTCCCTTGCCTTAAGTCTTCCAGAATTTCTGACTTGAGCTTGTTAAGTTCTTCTGCCAGTTGCTTTAAGTTGTTAGGAAGCACTTGTTCATCTAAAATGTAAAAAATGTTCTCAGATTATTTCTGTAAATCACTCTGAGCCACCTGATGACATCAGAAAATTAATTTGATTACATCAGAAAAACCAGTCAGATTCTTCCATAAATGACCACGAGTGTGAGCTGGAAAAATTTATAGACAAGAGGTCATGTAAATGTGACAGAGGAAGATCATCTTGAATAGTTCAAGGAATTTAAATAACTTGCTGTGAAGTATATAAGCAGAAAAAGACAAACCTAAAAGATTTGACAAGACCCAAGGCAACAACTTACCTTTTGCCTGAAAAGACAGACAAAACTACAAAATGACAGTTAGGCTTTGAACTGACAAATAATAACTTGAAATTTGTCCAGTGTAACTTTTTATAATGACAGAAATGTTCTCTGTGTGCTGTATTCAATACAGCAGCCATTACCACATGGGCAGTGTTACTGAGAATCTGAAGATTTGTTGGCTTTATTGATATATTCACATATCATAAATCCACCTACTTAAACTATACTGCAGATACACACAACCATCAGCAGTCAATTTTAAAATATTTTTAAAGTCCAAAAACAAACCAGTGTCCTTCAGCTATCCCCTTGCTAAACCCACTCTGACCCTTACTTTCAATCCCTAAACAATCACTAATCTACTTTGCCTCAAGATTTCCCTGTTCTAGACACTTCATGTGACAGGAGTCATGTAGTATGTGTTATTTTGTGACTTTCATTTTATGTATTTTCAAGATTCTCCACATTGTCTTCCATAACAGCACTCTATTTCTCTGTATGGTTACACCACATTTTGTTTATCCATTTACCAGCTGTTTCCACCGTTGGGCTGTTACAAACACTATGGCTTTTAAAGGCTTAGTTTTTTGCTTCTGTTTTTTGCCAGTATCGGGGATTGAATTCAGGCCCTTCACACTGAGCTACATCCCCAGGCCTTTTCTTTATCGTTCCTTTTCTTTTGTTTTTGTTTTGTTTTTGAGACCAGGTCTCACTATGTGGTTCAGGCTGGCCTCAAAAGCACAGTGATCCTCCTGCCTCAGCCTCCTGAGAGGTTGCATTACAGGCATGTGCCACCACATCAGGCCTGCATTTTCTAATTTTTGAGGTGGGGGTCACTAAATCTCTTAAATTGTCTACTCTGGGCTCAAACTTGCAGTCCTCCTACCTCAGCCTCCCAGAGTGCTGGGATTACAGGTATAAGCCATTATGCAGCTGTACACACTTTTAAGTTTTTGTAAGGTATGAAGGTTCTTAATTCTCCACATCCTCAACACCTGCACTTTTTGATTTTAGCCTGTATAATTGCTGTGAAGCTATATCCTTTTAGTTTTGATTTTTACAGTGATACCTTGGTTCATGAACTGAATTGTTTACACAATTCTGGTCATAAACCAGATTGAAAACAGAATGAAATTTCTTCATAAGGTCAACATTGAACCTAACCACTGAATTTGAGTTGGTTCTCAATTAGGCTCAATGTTGACCTTATAGGGAAATATGATTCAGCTCTCATCTAATTTGCTTTGTGACCAGAACCATGGAAAGAATTGTTTGTGAACCAAGGTACCTCTGTCTTTCTCTTGGTCTACCCATCCATCCATCTATCCATCCATCCATCGAATGATACTGCAGATTGAACCTAGGGCCTTTGCACTGAGCTATATCCCCAACTCTTTTTGTAAGTCACCCAGGGTGGACTCAAACTTGGCAGTACCCCCACCTCAGCCTCCAAGAGTGCAAGGATTATATGCATGCACTCCCATGCCTGGCTCTCCTTATGAGATACTGTGTTTGCAAATATGTTTCCCATCTGTGAGTTCTTTTCACTTTCTTGATGGTAGAGGAACTGAATTCTTTGTTTCAGTTAAGCACCGTTTTTGCAGCTAGCACCAGCAACCCCCCCATTCTTTAAATAAGCAGGAAATAAGAGTGATTTGGGTATAAGAGGAAAGGTAAATGGCTTAGAAAGAACCATTGGAAGTATTTTTGCTGTTTTTCTAATTATGTTGCTATCTCTCCCTGTCCTCTGTTAAAAACTTCGGATTATAACTTTTTTTTTTTTTTTTTTTTTGAGACAGGGTCTCATTATGCAGTTTAGGTTGGCTTTGAGCTCACTTTGTAGCCCAGGCTAGTCTTGAACTTGCAGCAATCCTCCTGCCTCAGCCTCCCAAGTACTGGGATTACAGGTGTGTGCCACCACACCCGACTGATTATAACTCATTAGTGTGTAGCAACCAATGTTTTTCTAAAAGCAAATAAAATAGCCAAGTTCATGAAACATCTGAGAGTGTTTTTTGAAATTTGTTTCTACACAGACCTGATTTAGGTACAGTGTTAACACACTGGTTTACAATGCAAAATTTTCTTACACATCATGAATTTAAAAAACACTATACGTTCAGCATATCATTTCCTTTTCCAATGTTCTGAGCTTTTGAAAAGGTAATAATGCTGGTGATACAAGGAGCATAACAGCTGACTGGAACCAGATGTAACTCTGGATCCCAAGTTGCCCAAATATTTAGTAGCTCCTTGGGTGAATTATGTGATCCACTGTGAACCTCCATTTCCCATTTGTAAAATTATACTCACCCTCCAGAATTGTACAGCTTAGAAAGTAAAGTACTGAGCATATAAAGTGAGCTAAAGAAATACTAACTTACGTTTCTTAAAACTAAATTTTCAACATAGCAGTTAAATATTCAGAACCTAAAAAATTATATATATTGGTTTTTTTTTTTTTAGACAAGGTCTCACCGTGCAGTTCAGCCTGGCCTTGAACTCACTATGTACCCCAGGCTGATCTTGAACTCACATGTAGTGCAGGCTGGCCTTGAACTTGTGGCGATCCCCCTGCCTCAGCCTCTTCATTGCTAGGATTACTGCAGTGTACCACTACACCTAGAATTATTTTATAAAACTGTAACTACTATATAGTTTATTAAATTAGGATTTACAATACCTTGACCTTGCTGAAACTCCATGTTAATCTTACACCTGGTCCCTGACTACTGTAGGGAGTGGCTGAAGCTGAAAATCAGTCACAGGTGCGGGGCTAAGACAAAAGCAGCCCAGAGAATAGAGAGAGCTACTCCAGCCATGTAAACAAGCTGTTCCAGCTTGCAAACAGGTTGCTAGGCCGAGAAGCTGAAACCGACATCAATCTCCTGCACGTATGAATAAATGCTCTACAGTTTTTGGGTAGTTCCTTTCCTCCCATCTGGAGAGAGGGCTCCCCAGACCTCACCTTTCACCTCGTCTTTATTTCTAAATCCTCTGAATGTTTTTCCCCAGGAACATCAAGAGCCGCACTGGTTCATGGCAAACTACCTTTTCTCCTTCATTAGTTCCTTTCCAGGCTCAATGGCCTCGTTTCTCTTCCAGAACATTTCAAACCTCTGGGGTTTAGTCCTTTATGTTTCCTGCTTGGAATGATCTTACAGATACCCACATAGCTTGTTCCTTCCCATCATTCACATCTCTGTTTAAATGTCATCTCTGAAAGCCTTCCTGATGAGCCTTTTAAAAATATGTCCATCACTAAGCTGGGTTTGGTGGCGCACACCTGTAATCCCACACTCCGGAGGCAGGAGGACTGCTGTGAGTTTGAGGCCAGCAGAGGCTGACTAGTGAGTTCAAGGCCAGCCTGAACTACATAGTGAGACCCTGTCTCAGAAAACCAAACCAAAACAAAAATACATCTATCACTTGAACCTGCTTTATCCTACTTTATTTTTCTCCAGAGCAGGGACATATCATCAGTTACTTTTCTTTCTCCTCACTGGAATGTTGTGCTTCCTGCTGATTCTCCAACATCTAGAATAAGCCCTAGGAAAAAACAGCCACTCAGTAGAAACTTGATAAAGGGATGAACAACCAATTCCAGGAGAAGAGTTTGTAGACCTGTGTAATAAAATTGCAGACTTAAAGTGAAAATATGATATAAGATTTAACAGCTAATAAACTACGTGAATGATGAGATAATAGCAGTAGAGAGTCAATTACCACATGAAGTAAACAGCACATTACTATTCAGCGTACCTTTTGCTTCCTTCATTGTCTCAGAGACAATTCTTCGGAGTGTCTGATCAGCTTTATGAAAAACGTTAGTTGAACAAATAATCCTGTCCGTTTCCTGTGTAATACAAGCATTGTTACTGGAACAATTTTATAAAAGAAAACACCAAAGTGTAAAAGACTGAAAGAAAAACGGATGTAACTCAGCAGTAGATTAACTGCCTAGTCGTTGGTTTAATCCCCAGCACCACCAAAAAAAAAAAAAAAAAAAGGAAAGGGAAGAAAAGTTAAAGTGGCTTTTCTGTTACTTTTCCCTCAGAAAGGGTCCAAATGAATTATGTCAAGTTGTAAACTGGGTTCCCCTAGGCAGCAGTATAATGATGAATATCTAATGGGTAACCCTCCAAAAATTCCCTAAAACTTATCTGTAGGATTTGCTTATTTCTGTGGTATAAATATTTCCATCCTGCACATTTTAAACTACCACCATAATGTCAACAGGCTCTATCATGTCCAAAAACTTAACAAGAAGGTTTGGCCAACTGGCATAAGCTGCTAGCATTTCACCACTGAATTCAGATGTCAGCAGGTGAATGCTGGTCTGATGTTGCTGACAAAGCATCTTTGATGTTTTACTCACTGAAAACACAAAAAGATCACCTATGAAAAGCTATTCCTTCTCATTTGCTTCAGTTCTACATTGACAACTTACCTTTTGTTCCATATTCTCCTCAACGTATTTTACTGGATTTTCCAAAGAGGTAAGCAATAAATCAACCACTTCCAGGCTACAGAAAAAGTGGGGTAAAATACAATAAACCCTTATTATCAAACATCTGTTTTTTAAAAAAAAACTTGTACTAAAAATACCCTTTACTTAATACTAAGTTGTATTCTAGAAGAGTAAAATTGCTATAACCTATGATCCTTAACAGAAGGGAAAATCTAAACTACCTCTCATTTGCAAATACTAACTTACTAAGACTCACATAAATTACAAGCTTTGAAGAATAATTTTCTCCTTCCCCCTATTTTATATGGAATTACTGGGTAACACTTTTTTAGTCCCAGAAGAACTCACTGTGTAGCCCAGGCTGGCTTTGAACTCGTGGCAATCCTCCTGCCTCAGCCTCCAGACACCCTCCTTATAGGTGTGCACCACCTCATCCAGCTCATCCTTACTTTCTGATTTGTGCTTATCTACTGGACAAGGATTAGCAAAATTCGTCATTGGTCAAGGGGCCATAGAAGACTGAGAATATATTCGTTCATTTAAGAAACATATATTGAGCATCTTACATCAAAAATATTGTATAGCGATGTAGCTAACCTAGGGGCGTAACAAGATTACTTAGCCTTCCAAGCCTGATAATGAAGTGGAGATAAATAAGCAAAAACTTCTTGGACAGTGATAAGTGGATAAGTGAGTGAAGACAAGAAGCTAAGTGATAATGATCTTCACTCTACTCAGCAGGTCAGGCAAGGCAGGCAGCATAAGTATGTGGAAGGGCAGCCAAGACAGCAAATACAAAGGCCCTGAGGCAAGGACAAGCTTCTAGTGCTCACCAAACAAAAAGCGCCAATTTGGTTTAAAAGCAAGGGGAGGGGCAGTAGGATATGAAGCTGGACAGTTAAACAAGGTTATTGTAACAAGTATTGTCAGGAGCTTGAATTTTACTCAGTACAGGGAGTAGAACTGAAAGACCCTTAAGTGACGGAGCTCACTGTGTTAGTCTTAACCTCAAAATGATCTTTCTCGTACCAACGAGGTTCTGGAGTCAGACTGCACTGGGCCAAGATCTTGGTCTGCCACTTCCTAGCTGGGTGTGTTACACAACCCACCCGTAAAATAGCAATTACAGTTTGTCCCCTTAAAGGGTGATTGTGAGGACTGAAGTGTTCAGAACAGGCCCAATACATAGGATGTGCTCAATAGCTCTTGCTACTATAACTTCATAGAGCCTGGGAAAGGTACATTTATGAGATCATCTTTCAACTTCCAATATAGGGCTGCCACATTCTGTGAATATTTGGGTAGGAGCACAGGTAAATAAGGCTTTTCATACCCAGGACCAAAGCTGCAGATTACGGTCAGAGCTGGCAGTAATACTAGAGAAGCTTCCGCCAAAGGCTGTGTCTCATAGGTGTTGAGGCAGTGGTGAGAGCCCTGTGGTGCTCTCAGGACATTCCAGTGCCTCAACCAGCTACTCGCTTCCATAGGAAGATTTTAAGTATTCCACAAAGAGTAGCCATCAGTTATGTGCCTGCTCAAAATTTCAAGATCGTATGACAGAAACCTCCCCAGTAGCTTTATGAATTATAAAAACAATCGTCACTTAAATGCAGTTTTTGTTTTGGGTATATTCATCTTAAAAAATATATAAGATCTATACCCTGGGAACTAAACTTTTGAGGAATGAGTTTAAAAATTTGCCGTTTAAAAATTACTGATCCTGGCAGCCAGGTTTGATGGCACACACCTGTAATCCCAGCATTCAAGAGACTGAGGCAGGAGGATCACCATGAGTTCAAGGTCAGCCTGGGCTACACAGTTCAAAACCAGAGTGCAATACAGAGCAAGACGCTGTCCAAAAAAAACCAAAAAAAAAGGGCCAGGGATATAGCTCAGCACAAATGCCTACCTGGCAAACACAAGGTCCTGAGTTTGATTCCTGGTCCCCGCCTCCCAAAAAAAACAAACCGAAAAACTTCTGATCCCAGCCAGGCATGGTGGCACACACCTATAATCCCAGTCCTCAAGAGGCTGAGGCGAGAGGATCACAAGTTTGAGGCCAGCCTGGACTACATAAGAGCCTGTCTCAAAACAAAACAAAACAAAAAATATAAAAATTGTTGACCCCCTACAGATGTCAAATGGGTGCTGCCTCATCCACTATAAGAGGTGTTAGCCATTTGAGGCTAAGTTTAATTAAAATCAAATTAAACTAAAAATTCAGGTACTCAGCTCCATTAGATACATTTAAGTACTCAAAAGTCAGATGTGGCTAGCTGTTACCATATTGGACAGTGCAAATCTACATTTCCATCATAAATAAAATGTCTATTAGTAATGTACAGCTCTAAAACTCTTAGAACACATGTCATAAATGGAAAGCATGTGCCTCACATATACACAAGCAGAGTAATAATAACAAGATCTAAGACAAATTAGGATCTAGTACAAGTTCCCATTCTTTTAAAATTTCTTGTCTATTTTTTTTTTTTTTTCTTTCACAGTACTGGGAATCAAACCTAGGGCCTTGCAGATGCCACACAGGTGCTCTGCCACTGCGCTACATTCCCAGCCCACAGAATTCTTTCTATGAGAAAACCCCTGGGCAACATATTTGGACTACTCTATTCTGACAAGAGTATCAAAGACGTGTTCTACTATGAGTTCCTTTCTCCAATCTCTGCGAGACAGTATAATCCTAACAGTTAAGAGCAGCCCTTTACAAACTTGGCTGTCACAAGTTCAGAGACTCTGGACAAACTACTTTCTTACTTCAGTTTATTCTTCCACCCAAATAACCCTTAAGGACCTATGTGAGGATCAAGCCAGTATGGGTAAAGAATTTATTTAGCATGGAGTCTGGGCAAGTCCCAGGGAAGGATGGCTTTGAATAGAATACCTGGCCTCTGACAAATGCACTGGACTCTGAACTGTGAGGCTGTTGTGCTCCCAAGCATTTTTCTCAGGGTTGGGCCTTTCTATCTTTCTCTCCATCTGGTGGATGGTGTCAGCAGGCAGCACCTGTGGTCTCTGGCCATTCCTCTGCAAACACGTCTCAAGTGGGCAGTCTAAAAAGAGTTGGCAAAAACCCAACGAATCTGCAAAGAGTTTAAAACCACCAAATTACTGGTCTCCTCTCTCTTCACACTGTGAAATAAATATTTACACTAGACAAATCCCAGTTGAAGCAAGAAAAATTCCATCTGCAATACTGAAAACCTAGTTTTAAAGTTAAATCCATATAACCCTCTAATTCAATTAAATTCTCATTGAAAGTAGATTTTGATATGTGAATAAATGTTGCCATGTGTAAGAAAAAAATATTTTAATTACATTTCCGAGCCAGTTGGTAGACTTCATATCTCATACTTTGATAATAAAAATTGTCATCTAGAACCAAAACTAAAGGTCTAGAAATAGCAGTTTCTGCTACGAGATAAACCGGCTGGGCCTCAAGTGCTGCAGAAATGATCAGATCTTGATCCTTTAGGCAGGTTACAAAATCTTCCCACATAGATTCAGTCCTGTTGGGTGGGGCAGACATCTGACACCTGTTAACAACAGCCATCAAGAAGCATTCCAGGTACTTCAACAGTTCCTGCCGGGACATTTTCCACTGGTATGGCTATGAAAGACAGAAGAATTGTAATTTATAACAATAATTTTATATTATTTTTCAGTAGGGTGGTCATGTAGTCTCCCTGCCAGTCTTCCCCATGTGAAAATTTGAGCTTACACGCCTGAACCATTTGGAGTTCTCTACAGACACCCTGTGCTCATCCCTCCATGTCCTTGTATATACTGCTCCCTCTGCCTAGAAAACGTCTTCATGCTGCTGGTGCTGTGTGACGCCTTGTCTGACTTACCTGCGCCCCTCGCCTGCCTATCACAGCACCCCATTCTGTACAGACTGTGTCTCTACTCCAGCAGGGCTCGTACTGTTCAGGCATGTGTTTCCGTATCTTGCTGCTAGATCATTAGCTCACTGCATACCCAGCCGCCAGCCAAGAGATAAGCTTTAGAGTCCAGGCGCTTCACTTAGACGACCTCTTTCTTTGTTAAGTGGGCCTCTAACAATTTCGTTATTTATAATTTATATCATTTTTCTTTTTTTGTTTTGTTTTGTTTTGTTTTGTTTTGTTTTTCTCCGGTACCGGGAACCGAACTCACGACCTTGCGCTTGCCAGGCAGGCGCTTTGCCGCTGAGCTAAATCCCCAGCCCCTATATTATTTTTCTTAAAGAAGTTTCCCCAAATGATACAAAGTTCAATTAAACTGGCTATGCTAGAATCTTTTGGAGATTGTTTCCTTTGCCTAAGGAGAAACTTCCTGAGGACTATGAAAAGTACATCTGACTATGGCGGACTTTCACCTTTGCACACTTAATTTAGAATTGAGCCCTTCCTTAAGACTCTAGTGTGGAGCACAGAGGCACTCGTAATCCCAGCTACTCAGGAGGCTGAGGCAAGAGGACTGTACGAAGCCAGTTCAATGCCAGTCTAGGCAATACAGCAAGATCCCATCTCAAAATGCCAAACCTTCAAGGTAAATCAAAAGATCAAACCTTCAAGGTATAGACTATGCAATATACAGTGCATACAAACATGTACACGTAAACCTCCACACTGCATCATTCTAAAGCGGGTGTATTTTAACTATTCTGTGATGTATTTCTACGGTCCATTTCCTTTCCTCCTTACAGTGCCAATCCAGCGCCACCGTTCTCGAACTCCTCCTGCCTCCTCCCCAGTCAGGGCGTCTCTCCCACAAGAGACTGCCTAGTGCACACCCGGTTGCTCACTATACGCGACACAGCGCACCTTGGTGCGCCCGGAGCCGGAGCCGCGCCCGCGCCCGCGCCCAGCTCGCCCTCCCCGGTGCTGACCGGCGGCCCCGCGCCCGCGCCGTCCAGCGGTGCGGCAGGCATTAAGTCGTCGTAAGACAGGACGCCCACGGCCCAGCCCCGCTCCCGCCGCAGCCACTGGCCGAGGACGCGCGCCAAGGTTGACTTTCCTGCTGCGGGGAGGCCGCAGAGGACGCAGAGTCCCAGGTGCCGCGGCCCGTCGCTGTCAGCGCCCCTCGAGTCCTCCGCTGTCTCCATGCTGCCTGCGAGGCCCCAGCAAGAAGAGACTTTGGAACTCCGGCCACCCCGCGCGCATGCGCAGTGCCCCCTGCCGTCCTGCGGCGCCCCCTGCCGCCACGGCGAAGGAATAGACGAGGCTTAGAGTCCAGAAAGGACACCTGCCTGGTCCAGCTGCTTCGCGGGTCTCCTGGAGTGTGACCCTACCTCTGTGGCCAGACCTACGGGCGGGGGAGTTCACAGGCGTGCGTTTCCTTTTTCCTGGACATTCCTAAAGAATCCCAGAGTCGGAGTTAATCTTCAGATAGAATCATCCTCCTTGGAGGAAACATAAACCATTAGGATTTGCCCCTCGGATTTTGTTATAGTGAGGTTCTCTTGCTCAGGAAAATGCAGAAATGATTTACATCTTTTCCTCCATAAGGCTCCCGAGGTCCTCCTGCTTCAGTGTCCTGAGTGCTGGAATTGCAGGGGTACACCTCCATGACCACCTTAACATCTCTTCTTTAAATTTGTTGGTGTCTGATATTGTATTCCAGCTATGAGAAAGTGACTAAGGTAGATTTAGAGGATGGAGGATAAAAAGCAAATAGTAAAATAAGGAGAGAACTTGTAGTGGACCAATAATTATAAAATGTCATGAAATGAAGGGTTAAGTTTAATTCAGTATTCTTCATTTTCAAGCGGGGAGAGAGAGAGTGAGAGAGAGAGAGATTGTATGTATGTGTGTTTCATAATCACAAATTATATCAGGTTTGGCAGTGAGTTTTTGATTGTATTTTGCATAGTACACACTGATTCTATCCTCACATGCTCCACCACATTTTGAACACACTTCTTATGAATAAGAAGTAATCACCCACTAAAAATAAGGTGAGAAGTAGAATTTGAATTCATTTTTCACTGTTAAACAGAAACTTGCTGTGCACTTCTCTACATCTTAGTATTGTATTTTTAACATGCAAAAAAAAAAACACAACTACTGTTCTTTATGTGCAGGCATTGGAGCTAGCTAAGGATGTTTTATTTCTCCCTTATAGCCTGTTACAGCACTTGCTGCCCACTGTAGGGTGTAACAATGAATATTTACTTTGCCCTTGTCCTGTTCACATTAGGGAAGGGCAGCAGAGCCTGATCCTGGCTTTGCCTCTTTTTTTATTTACAGTAATTTACCTTTCAAAGCCTTTTGTTGGCACAGACTTGCCCTGAGCACAGCTTCCTTTGACCTTCAATAAATGTAGCTGCTTGCCACTTGCTACTCAGTATACACTTGGCAATACTTTCCTCATTGTACACAAGAGTCTTGTCTTTTTGTCACTGCTGACACAAATTACCTGATACTCAAAGTTAAAGGAAGAAAAGTTTATTTAGTTCATGGTTTGTAAGAGGTTCGTAGTTGGCTGGCTCCAAGGCGGGGTGGATGACAGACAGGCATGGCAGAGGAGAAAACAATTCATAGCAGGCAGAAGGTAGCAAGGTAAGCAAGGGATGACCACAGCTCTTTCTATCCCTTATATCTTATCTAGACTATTTAGGGCAAGCTACCACTCACACCCTCAATCCCAGTATTACAGATAGCTAAACTAGATAGAAATATTGTCAGACAGGGCTAGGCCCTCAAAGAAGCTAGTGTAGAAAACAGGATACATTGAAACTGGGGGGAAGACACCGACACCTCTTCTGATGGCCAGATCTCAAGATAAAAGGTGAAATGAGTGCACCCACATACTTCTCCTAAGGATAAACAACAGTGATTAATAGTCTAAATAGGTATTCGATCACCTTGGGAAAACCAGGAATAGCCACTGACCCACGCCCTGCAGGAAAAGCCCCTGTTCTGTTTCATGCCCACTTGCTACGTGACTTGCTTCCCCCTCTGATTCCCATTTAATCAATTTTACCTGAACAATTATCCTCATAATCTTATTGGAATGACCACAGTTTTATCCCACCTCATGCCCACCTTGTGATTTCCCGTTTTTCCCCCCACCTTGGGCCTCACCTTGTGGTTTTGCTCTATAAAAATTGCTTGAAAAGGCAGGGTCCCCGGCAACCCACTTGGAAACCCTTCTGTCTCTCTCTCTCACCTGTGCTCATTTTATTGTCTTCAGCCCCTCCAGAGGTCAAACTGGTACTATGGTTCAAGCATGGTCCTTCACCATAAATCATATCATAGATATAAACTAGCTGGGAGGGCCCAAGGCACTTTAGATTTATACAAAGATACACTTACCTGGAAGAATATTCCAGTAGCTTAGAAGTTATCCCCTAGGCACTGTTAAGAGGCAGCTTTGAGCCTCCCAGACCCGAGTTAATCCTTTCTTGCACTATAGCTTTAGGACAAGAAAGAATCATACAGGTGATAATCTAAATGAGGACATAGACTCAACTAGAGTTTAAAAACCTCTATAGTATTGCTGCATTTTCTCAAAAAGGCTGTACTAACAATTGTACACAGTTTAACAATGTTAGTAACCGGAACAGAGGTCATAAATGTGGTGGACACGGAGAGTGGCTAACAGTGAAGATAAAGGAAAGGATAAGGTAGGGAGGTCAATTTTTTCCCCTACTCCTTAGTTGCAGGCCCAGTATTAAGGCAGGGTGAGAAAGAATTCCTGACAGCTACGGAACCCACAAGGACTGGAGAAGGAAAGGAGGGGAGAGGTAAAATTCCAGTGGACCTCACTGGGAAAGAAATTAAATTCCTATAACTACCTTGCTGGGAAGTATACTCCTAAGTAAAACACAGGGCATATATAAGAAGAACCTAATTTAAAATTAAGATGACCTAAAAAGAAAAGCAAAAAATAAAATTAAGATGATCTCAATTGTTGCTCAAGAAAATTAATACTCTAAGTCACTTTCTTCTAAAATGTACCATTCAAGGGCCGGGATTTAGCTCAGTGGCACAATATCTGCCTGGCAAGCGCGAGATCATGAGTTCGGTTCCTAGTACAAAAAAAAAAAAAAAAATACCCTTCAAATACGTGCTGGCTCATATTCTGAAAGATTTTGTTTGAGGCAAGGCTAGTCTTAAACTCATGAGCTCAAGTAATATACCCATCCTAGCCTCCCAAGCAGTTGAGATTATAGGCATGTGTCAGCATACCCAGCTGAAAACAGATTGAAATATGCTTCTACAGGGCACACTGAGCTATTACACATCCATAAGCAAGTTAATTATTTAAAATAGGTAAGTGGCCAGGCATGGTAGCCCATGCCTGTAATTCCAGCACTTGGGAGGCTGGTTTTTTTTTTGGCGGGAGGGTGTTGGTTTGTTTTCTTTTTGAGACAGGGTCTCGCTACGCAGCTCAGGCTGGACTTGAACTCACTTTGTAGCCAGGCTGACCTCAAACTAGCAGCAATCCTCCTACTTCAGCCTCTTGAGTGCTTGAATTATAGGCATGGGCCATCACACCTGGCTAATAGTATTAAGATCAAATTTACTGGTTTTGCTTTTTTGTACTACTCATAAATTTGTGATAAAGCTGCAAGCTAACCCTCACCAATTCTGAACGATTCTACCAGCACAAGGTAATGCCTAATCTCGGCAAGCATGACTTTAGTAGGGAACACAAATATGTAAACTGGTAAAATTTGAAATTGCAAGAGATTTATAGTGCCTAAAAAAGTGCAATGTACTACAGAGGAATTAGTTCAGTTCTGTAATGGAGTGCCAGCTTAGTTCTGAATAATAAACAGAATTTTCAAAACTACTGAAATGCCATTCCTGGTAAAGAAAACTGGGAGGTAGGCAGAGTTCGGTCAGAGTACAAAGGACGTTGCGTGCCACCTTAAGGAGTAAAGGTGATGATAATGATTCAGTTAGCAGCATCAGTCAGAAGGGACAAAGGGCAGGGCCACAGAGCCTGATATATAGATGATAAGAATACAGGCTAATGATTAGTACAGGAATTCCTGGAACTGTTCGGATGAAGTGAGTACTTCAAAACGAAACAGAGATGAAAAAAGATAAGGAGTTTTTTAACAAATGAAAAGCTGAGTGTAGTGGTGTAGGCCTGTAACCTCAGCACTCTGAGAGGGTGAAGCAGGAGGATTCAAAGTTCCAGCACAGCCTGGGCAATTGATTGATTGATTTATATTTTAAAGAGAATAAAAAATAAAAAAATTAGAAATGACACACAATTTCAAAAAACAAGACGACAGGAATTCAACAATGGTTATTATCTTGCATATTGTTGTCTTCAAATTAGCTGTTCAGATTGCCAGATATAAGCATGCAAAATTGGTCAAAAAAATTAAAAAGAAGAAAAAAAATTTAAGCACTAACTGTTCCTTTCCATAGATCAGTAGAAATCAGAGACTTAATGATACCCTGTATCAAAATAAAAAAGGGGGCTGGGGATGTACCTCAGTGCAAAAGCCCCGGTTTCAATCTCCAGTACCTCAAGGGGTGTGTATGTGTGTGTGTTTGTGTGTGTGTGTACCTGTGTGTGTGCGCGCGTGCGTGCGCGTGCATGCGCATGCAGGAGTTTACTGACTTATTGGTTGTATGGGATTGAAAGGAAGTGGAGAGCCAGGAACCTCCAGATTTCTGATTTCTGATCTGTCAGCCTTATAGATGGCAATATTGCTCTTGCTCATGAAAAGCCTATTTTCCTTCGCACTGCCCACATATATTAATACAAGTCAAAAACCAAAACAAAAAAAACAAACAAACAAAAAAAAAAAAACCAAAACACAAGTCAAAGTTAACTTATGACCAGAGAAAGCAGGAAATATAGACTAGAAATAATGAAAATGACAACTTAGAATGAGTCTAGTGTATTAAAAATGATTTGAAAACTAGGATCTTTACAATTAAAAACTTTGGAATCTGTATATATTAGACCTTTGGTTGGGTTTTTCTCTGTCTGCTATGAATTTACTTTAAACACACAGAGACTAGAGAAAAATACATTCAATTTTTTTTGGCCCATGACACAGGTAAATATAGTGCAAAAGGTTATTCTATTCATTTTTTGTTTGCCAGACAGTACCTACATGAAATCAAATGAAACCTTAGGCAAAAGGAAAATTCAAATGTAATTTGCACTGAATGATAAAGTTCTGAGGCA